CAGCGCTTCAGACTCAACTCAACTCTCTATCCCAGCCTTCCAAGGGTCCTAAAAGTTTTTAAGCAGGGGAGCGACTTGTTTAAATTGCAGCAAGAACTAGAGATCTAGGTTTAAGTCTGGGCTTTACCACTCACCAGCTAGGTACCCTTGAGCAAGGGATTTTACTTCTCTGGGCCTCAGTTTCCTCAAAATGTAAAACACGGAAAACAATCTCTAATTTGGAGATTACATGCCTGGGACACTTAGGCACATAGGACACATTCAACAAACAGAAGTTATTACAATTATTACTGAAAGGAAGGTCAAATGAATTAGTTAAGTTTTCAAGCCCTTCTATTACATGGCCCTAACCTGTATTTCAGCCTTGTCTCCCACTGCTTCTCCATTGTGACTTTCAGCTCCAGTCATGTGGGATAAATTCCTGTTTGCTCGCCATGCCTATGCATGGTTCCACTTTTGTGCCTTTGATCATGCTCTTACCCAGCTTAGATTGCCATCCTTCCTCTCTCTGCCTAAGCAAATCCAGCCCATTCTTCACATTCCCACCCACCGTGGAGGCAGAGCTCCAGGGAACCAGAGTGAGGTGAGCAGAGGTGAGTGAGGAAGGGGTGGCCAGCTGCCTCTCAGAAGCAGTGGCAATGTCTATCCTGGCTTTTGCAAGGGGAGTGGAAAAACAAGCCTCCAGGATGAAGGGCATGGGATGGAGGTGGGACCCTAGAGCAGAAAAACACCATTTGGAATTCCTTTCTGAGACCCCTGTGTCCCTTGATTAGGACAAAGAGGGAAGGGATTGCAAGCCAGTCCAGTTGATGGGCCTACACCCTTCCAATGAGAGTCTAAGTTCTCAGAGGCAAAACCATGACAGCACCAAGGTCCATAGACCAAGTGCTTCTGGGCCCCAGAGCTGAGGCCAATCAGAGTTAAATTTTCTGGGAATTTACTTTTAAATACTTCAACAAAGAGAATGAGATACATGTGTGTATATCTGGTTAGTGTTAATCAACGTCCTAGTATCTTAATCAGGAATACACACTCCATGTGTTAGTTATCATTTGAAGAAGCCCACACTCCAGAAGGCTGTCACAAACACTTAAGTTATCTCCAATTGACATTAGAGACTGTGAAATAGCATAATGAAAATTACAAGTGATTTTTCACTTGTGCTGTTCAAGACATGTGGACTGACTAGAAATATACAGGCACTCCCACCTTTATATGTATATGCAAGATTGAGCCAGCCCAGTAGTATAATTCCTGTGGAATGGTGCCTCTAGGCTTAGGATTCCCAACCAGTCCAGTGTTCAGAGACTTACTGCTAGATTTGTCACCTGAATCCTACCACTAAAATATGTCACATGCAAAGTGCTATCAGGGCACCTAAAGGGACCTGAGAATTCAGTGAACTTACAGAAGAGGCCATATTTTTGTGCCTGCTTGCTCTTTCCCTTACACTCTACATCTGGTCTGTCAGCAAATTCTGGTGATTTGATCTTCAAAATATTTATCCAGAATGCAACCACTTTTCACCATGCCCATTGCTATCATTCTGGTGCAAGTCACCATGAATCACCTTTAACTGGGTGATTGCAAGAGTCTGCCAACTGGACTCCCTGTTCTGCCCTTGACTCCTTTCAGTCTTTTTTTTTTCTCCATAGAGCAGCCAGAATGTTCCTTTTAAGAACATATGTCACATAAGTCAGGTCACACCACTTCTCTGCTCAAAACCCTCCAATGGCTTCCTATCTCATTCAGAAGAAAAGCCAAAGTGCTAGCCAGGTCTCCTAAGACCCTAACTGATCTGATGCTCCGCCCACTCACCAATCCCCATTGTTAGTCTTACTCTGTCCATTACTACTCTTTTCTCTCATTCACTCCCCTCCAGCCACATTGGCCTCCTCACTGTTCCTCAAGCATTCCAGGCATCAGACATCCTCCTTTCTCAGGCCCTTTGCATTTGCTGTTTTCTTTGCCCGAAATGTTTGCCCCCAGATAGATGAATGGCTAGTTCCCTGACTTCCTTCAGCTCTTTATCCAAAAGTCATCTTCTCAAAAAGGCTTTCCCTAGCCACACTATCTAAAATTTTAACCCTCCACTCCAGCACTTCTTATTCCCCTACACTGCTTTATTTCTCTCCTTAAAACTTGAAATAATCCAACATAATATATATTTTACTTATTTGTCTTGTTTATTGTCTGTCTCCCCTAGAAAGATGTAAGCTTCACAAGTGCAGGGATTTTTGTCTGCTTTGTCTCCCACTACTGTCTTTAATGACTAGAACATGCATGTAGTAGACATTCAATAATTATTTGTTGAATGAATGAATGAATGTTTCTATAAGACTGGTGTGGCAGATTAAGGATAGTAGCAAATCTTTTGCTACCCTTCTCATTGAGAGGTAGAGTCTAATTCTCCTTTCCTTGAACCTTGGCTAGACTTAGTGATTTGCTTGGCCAAAAGAATGCAGCAAAAGTGACATTCTGGAACTTCTGAGATTAGGTCATAAGAAGACTTGCAGCTTTTGCCCGGGCCACTTAAAACACTCACTCTGGAAGCCTTAAGCTGCCGTATAAAAAATTCAACTACCCTGAGACCACCGTGCCATAGGGTTCACATGTAGGCACCTTAGTCAATAGTCTCAGCTGAGCCTAGCCCTCTAGCCATCCCCACTAAGGAACCAGACATGTGAGTGAAGCCATCTAGGACCCTCCAGACCAGCCCATCCACCAGCTGAGAGTAACTTCAGTCATGTGGGACAGAAGAATCATCCCTGCCAGAATTCCAGAATTCTCACACAAAATTGTGAGATATTATAAAACAGTTGTTGTTTTAAGTCACTAAGTTCTGGGGCAGCTTGTTACACAGCCATAGATAATTAGAACACCCAGGAAATATGGACCCATCTTTCTCAAAAGCCCTGCCTGGGTGCCTGGGGAAGCAACTCACCTTTCTGAATACCCTGCTAGAGAATACTGTCAGTCTCTTGAAGGAAAGCAAGCAAGACAACTCTGAGAGGACCAGCTTCTGGCTAGCCATGCCCCCCATCCCCACATCAGAGTCAGAGGACATGGGATAGAAGGAGGAGGCTGTCTTCACTGGTCAGTCTGTCAATGTTCTCAGGTCACTCGCTCATGGAGAACACATAGTTCTGCCAGCCAGCTTGAGGCACATCTGGTCAGAAGTCAGGGGACTCTGGCAGGCCCTTGAGCAAGTATAAGCATTTCAACTCTTCAGGACTTCTAAGTGCTTGTGTCTTTAAGAAAAACATAACAACCCCATGACTTAACCTTCGAGATGGTGGGAAGCTGAACCTGAATTAGAATAGTGTTATCTGTCCCTGACCTTGGCCTAAAGGAGCCTGAAGAGGAAGGAGAGGCCTACGTACTAGTAGCACTTTCTAGTCAGGTCCCATTGCTTTTATAAGTGCTGTAGTGAAGAGATCCTCACTCTAGTCCCAGCTCAGCCATTAACCCACCGTGGGGCCCTTCTGCAAGGCATTTCGTCTCTCCGGTCCTCAGTCTTCTCATACGCAAAATCGAGATGTCTCTCAGCAGTAGCAAGCATGTTAGAAGCTCTAGTAGTTTGAGCTTCGAGGGAGTGAAAGAAATAAAGGTATGAAGCAGTGTCTAAAACGCTAAGGTGACTTCAGCAAAAGTGCGATGGTAGTCCTAAATCCCATTTGCTCAGGGTCCACAAGTCCTGGCCTCTTCTTCCAACCCCCCTCTCCCGTCTTCCTTCCAGAACAGCTCCAGGATTGTGTTTGGTTCTGAGACCTTCATTTCATCAATAAGTACATATGGATAGGTAAGGCATTAAGTGAAGCCCCAAGATTCAGAATGCCTCATTTCCTATTCTCAAGCACCTCCCCACAACCATACCCTCCACTCCTTATTCCCTTCTACTGCTTCCTCTTACCTGCCCTCTCTTTGGTAAGTGGTTCTCACTGGGGTGGCAATGGGGGTAGGGGCCATATTGCTCCCTAGAGGGCATTTTGGGAAATATGTGGTGGTATTTTTTGTCGTCACAATGATTGCGGATCAGATTGATTGGCAAACAGGGTTCAGAGTTGCTAAAGTCCTACAGTGCACATGACAGTCCTATCTCATGTGACTTTTGAATGTCCTGCTGGACATTCATGTAGGTGAAAAGACATTAAAATTATCTGAGCTTATAACCTAACTCCGTATTACATAAAAACAAGTATTTTTATATACTTTAAATTAAAACTGAATTTTCCCAGAATGCAACTGTCACGTAAATAAAGGGAATATTGTGCTTTTTTGGTTCAGAATTTTACCAAGAGTTGTTCACTATTTGGAAAATCACATCACTATGGCAATACCATTTGTGGTGTTTCAGTGGCCAATAAAACATACCTGTATCGGTTAGCATTTTCAGGTTGAGGCAACTGACTTCATTACATTTTCTGGTATAATTATGACTGAGCATTTAGATATTGAAATATATTTTGTTTTATTAAAAAATTATATTTTTTTATGTCCTCCATATTACAGTTGGGACATTATACTCATCTTTTCAAAGTATGTGCATAGGTAGGTTATCCACAAATTCCATTTCAGGGTAATAAAAGAGTGTTACAAAATATTTGTTTTAAAAAGTCATTCTTGAGTTTGATGGTTGAGACTTACTATCTTAGAGTTTCCTTATAATCTTCCCTTCTTCTTCATGAGCCTATGTCCTGGCCTCAACTTGTCTGCACTTCACTGCTGACACCCTCTACTTACATGGCTTACAGTTCCCTCAAAATTCATGTATAGTCTGTGGTAGCCAGCCTCCAAGATGGCCTCCAATGATCCCTGCCTCCGGGTATTCATACCTTTGTGTAGTTCCCTCCCACACTGAGTAAGGTTGACCTGTGTAACCAATAGTATATCGTGGAAATGACAGTGTACTTTTAAGGCTAGGTCATAAATGACTTTACAGCTTCTGTCTGTCTCTCCCTCTTGGATCACTCCTTGTGAGGGAAGCCTGCTGCCATGCAATGAGGACACTTAAGCAGCCCTATGGAGATGAGGATCTGAGGCCTCCTGCCAACAACCAGAACCAACTTGCCTGCCATGTAAGTGGTAATGGACCTTAGTAATGGATCCTCTAGCCCCAGTCAAGCCTTCAGATGATGGCAAGCCCAGCTGACATCTTGATTACATTACAATCTCATGAAATACCCTGAGTCAGAATCACCTGGTTAAGCTATTCTCAGATTCGTGACCAGTATAAACTGTGCGAGATAAATATTTATTGTTATTCTAAGCCACTAAGTTTGAGGATATTTTGCAAGTGGCAACTGACTTTTTTATGCCTTTTCTAGATTGTCAATTTCTCCTGAATAGAATATAAGCTCTAGAAGGCATAAACCTTGTTTGTTTTGTCAATTACTGTATCCCCAGAGTGTAAAACAATGCCTGGCACATAGCAGCTGCCAAACATTAATTGAATAAATGAATTAACTTTGGCAAAAGAGATATAAATACTAAAAAGAGAAATAAAAAACTATCACTATTTGTAAACAATATGATTGTCTACATAAAAGATCCAATACAGTCAACTGAGAAACCATTAGAACCAATAAAAATAATTCAGCAAAGTGGCAAAATTCAACAGCAACATACAAAAAGCAATGTTTTTATACACCAGCAATAATCTACTAGAAAATCTAATAGATAAAAAAAATCCTAGTCACAATAACAAAAAAAAATCCTAGTCACAATAACTCCCAGAAATATAAATTGCCTAGGGAAAAAAAGCCTAACAATAAATGTACAAAATCTAGATGAAGAAAAATATAAAACTTTACTGATGGACATAAAGAATAGCTGAATGAAGTGATAGATAAATTATATTTCAGTATAGTAAAACTCAATATTGTAAAGATGTCAACTACCTAAAAAAATCTATAAATTTAATCCCAATCAAAATCCTAATGATACTTTTTATAGAACTCAACAAATTGATTCCAAAAATCACTTGGAAGAGAAAATGTGCAAGAGCAGCTGAGAAAATTTTGAAAAACAACAGTTGTTATTCAATTAATATTTGGCAGCTGCTATATCTTCTTTCATGTTCACCCTGGCATAAATAGATAGCTAGAGCCCTCTCCGGTCTCTCCTGAGCATGTGTGTGGCCCTGTGCAAGCACACAGCCTTACAGACCACCAGGAGTCTGTGAAAGTGGAACTATGCCTGTCTTGTTTCTCAGATCTCCCCATTAAATTTCTGGCTGATCTGCCAGTCTTTTGCCTCCTCCAACCTGTACAGAGACCTCAGATTAGATGTGATATTTGCCAGATTCCCATCGTTCTAACCAAGGCTCCATAGTTTTTCTGAATGAGCTCCCCACTGAGACAGCAACAAGCATAGAGAGAGAATTATCTTTAAAGAAGCCCACTGCTCAGGGGGAGGTGTTCCTCTTTGATAAGCAGTTGGCCTTGCAAGAGAACACCAATGAAGAGGAGTCCCTTATTAAACAGCCACTGGCCTGGCACGAGAAGCCTCGTATTGAAAAGGAGACCATCCTGAGGGTGTCCTTGGCCTTGCAGGAGAATCCCACAATTGAGGAGGGGGCTATCCTGAAGGAGCCCTGGGGCTTGCAGGAAAATCCCATAATTGAGGAGGAGGCTATCCTGAAGGAACCCTTGGCCTTGCAGGAGAAGCCCAGTAGTGAGATGGAGGCCCTTTTCAAGGAGCCATTAGCCTTTCAGGAGATGCCTACCATCAATGAGGCATTAAATTTCAAGGAGATATTTGCCTTGAATGAGAAATCCACCCCTGGGAAGGAGTTGTCTTTCAAAGAGCCATTGGCCTTGCCAGAGAATCCCACCCACAAGGAAGATACCTTTCTCAAAGATTTCTTGATCCTTCAAGTTGAGACCAGCCCACATGTGTCCAGCACTGCCCCTGAATCCAGAACAGGCATGTCCAGCACTGCCGCTATGTCCAGTGTGGGCAAGTTAAGTACCACAAGCAAGTCCAGTGCTTGTGAATCCAGTTCCAATAAACCTTTCTCGTCTCAGGGCAAGAGATCACAGAAGGAGGTATTCTGCTTTCGTTTTTCTTAAATTAGATGACGTGTTATTTGTTGTCCTGGAGGTAGCTGCTAGCAAAGAGATTTGTTTTGCCTTCCTAAGCAATTGAGCTATACGTAGTAAGCTATAGTAAACCAAACTGGCCTTGTAGAATCTATTGATTGATTGATTGATTGGTTGTGAGGAAGAGTTGCCCTGAGCTAACATCTGTTGCCAATCTTCCTCCTTTTTTGCTTGAGGAAGATTAGCCCTGAGCTAATATCTGTGTCCGTCTTCCTCAATTTTGTATATGGGTCGCTGCCTCAGCATGGCTGAAGAGTGGTGTAGGTCCGTGCCAGGAACCAAACCTGTGAACCTGGGCCTCCGAAGAAAAGCGGGCCAAACTTAACCACTATGCCTGGGGTGGCCCCTGGCCTTGTAGAATCTCTTGAATTCCTGATCAGCATAGTGATACACCCAAGCAATTAGAAAGTATTTATTCCAGGAATACCCACAACGTATATATATATTTGGGCTTTGCAGTAGTGGTTAGACAATTTCTTTCAGGAAATTGCCTTTCTTATTAATTGCAATCTACATTACAGTGGGCTTCAGTCAAAGATGAGTTATGAGAGACATCTCCCAAGGAAGATGGTCTTTAAGTTGTAAATTGGAAGGACGAAGGGATGAGATTTGGCAAGAGGGAAGAGCAATACCCCTCTTGTAGGCAAAACAACCTGAGTAAAGGGGTAGAAGGGAGGAAAAGGCTACCAAGAAGATGAATTGGGCCAGATCAAAGCATTGGGACAGAACAAGGAACCAAAGAAGACAGGTGACATGCTGAAATAGTAAAATAAGAGTGTCTTTCTTGGAGAGTCTTTAGCTTACCTGTAAAAATGGTACCTGGTTCCTAGGGCAGACCAGGCATATACAAGGAGGACTAAGCATTTCTTGGTCACTCGGCAATATGAGGACTGCAGAGCCAAGGCCTGCTCTGTTATGGCCTAGGATATATGAAGCTTGAGAAACCTTAGCAGAAGATTACAGTGGGAAGAAAGGAATCATTCTTTATGTCTATGAGCTAAGCTTTCCTTGGAATCTTTCTCCTCCTAATATGTCTTTTTGGTGATTTCCAAGCAGATAATCCCACTGGAGGATATTGACAAGGACCACAATGATCCATTTTTCAACTCAATATATGCCAATGATATCTTCAATTACATGAAGGAGAGAGAGGTATGTAGGTGGCTGGTGGGGGGGGGCGGCAATGATTTCTAGTTCTCATTTCTTTGTACTCCATCCTACAAATGCAAGTTGAAAGGGGAGGTAATATGATAAAAATAATAATAGCAATGACTGACATCTACTGGGAGCTTACTATGAGTTAGACATTGTGCTAAGGGATTTAGAGACATTATCTTGTTTAATTCTCCCAATAACTTCATGGTGGTAGGTATTATTATCTCCTTTGAATAGTTGGAGGAAACTGCTCAGAGTCCCATAACTAGTGTGTGGTAGAGCTGAGATATGGACTACAGTCCCATTATCTTGAAGATCATAAGGTTGCTGCACCTCTAATTGCCATGGAGACGGTCTCGGACATAAAAATGATCAAGTAGTCTCTTTCTGAGTGGCTGCTCTTAGAGATCTTTTCCCTTCTCTACGTAAGTTTCTGGTACCATAGGTAAAATCACACCCTTTGTTTCAGCTCTTCAACCTGGTGAAATTTTCTTCCTCCTTTGAAATCTGCTAGTCTCCTTTACCACTAATATTCATCATTCCAAATTTTCTGTCTGTCTCAACAGAACAGGTGGGACCAAGATAATCTTAACAACTAGAATTTTAGCAGGCCATGCGTAAAAGGGAGGATAAATATCTTGTCTTCTCTCTAGAGACATAGAATTTGATTAGCTGACTCCAGGGCCCACACTTTCTCTAGTATACCTTGGAGGAAGTAAGACAGAACTTTGCTGTACTAAAAGTGCGGGCCTTAGCTCAGCAGTATCAGTTTCACTTGGGATCTTGTTAGAAATGCAGAAACCTGGCCCCGCCCCAGACCTTCTCAATTAGAATGTGAATTTTAAAGATCCCCAAGTAGCACATATGCATGTTCAAGTTTGAGAAGCACTGCTCTACATAGCATGGTATTGTGCTTTAGATTGAATTGTAAAGAAGGGGCAGAACTTCTTTCATATTCGTCTGTAGTCATAGGTGTGTTCCTTCCTATATTCCATATTCCCCATGGACTCCTCAACATCCACCCTGACACTTGAATATCGTGTGTGTCCCTTTCCCAAGAATAACTGGAACTTGTCTGGAAAAGGATAAGGATACTTTGATCTGCCCCCATCTGATACCATTATCTGAAAATAATGAGTTAGAACCATGAAGAAGTTAATTATGTGGTTACTTTTTTTTTCTGAGAGATTACTTGCAAATATTTTTTTCCTAAGTTACAATTTTTGAACTACAAGAAGAGTTTGTTTGTTAATGTTTATTTCTTATTACTGCCAGGAAAAATTCATACTTAAAAAATACATGAACAGGCAGACTGACATCAGCAGTGACATGAGGGCCATTCTTGTGGACTGGTTGGTAGAGGTGCAGGTAAGCCTGACAACTGCCGCCTTAAGGAGCTGCTGTTCTCTTTATTGGTTATTCACTCAGCATCTCCAGGTGCCAAACATGGTAAAAATTTGCTGGGTCTACAGAACTGAATAAGCCATGGTTCCTGCTCTCAGGGAACTTATGATCTAGGGGACAAGGTAAGATATGCAGATGGATAAGTACAATACAAAGTAGAGTATACTAAGTACCATAAGAATGTTATAAATAAGATACTGTGAGAACCCAGTGGAAAGAGAGATTATTTCTAGAAAAGACAATGATGGTATGGTAGTTTAGTCATTCTCAAAATCTTATAAAAGTGTATCTAGTGATTTGGATAAGGGACAGCGACAAAGTTTTTCAAGCTTTGGGTGGGATGGGTAATAAGAAGGACAGTGTGGCACCAGACATGGCAGGTAGCTGTTTGTCCAGGGTTGGACGTTGAGGGAATACTGCTATGAATACTTAAGTATCACTTTACACTAAGGAAGGATAGCCCAGAATAGTACCTGGCACATAGTAGGGAGTCAATAAATATTTGTTGAATGAATGGAATTGAATGAATTGCTATGGAGTTTTCAAGGAAATATAGGGTATAGTCTTTGCCCAGCAGAGTCTTACTATATAATTGGGAAGAAAAGGTAATATAGTTCAATATCCTTTAAGTACCAGAGGAGTTGTTCAGGCTCACTTTGGAGTGACAGACCAGAGAAATGTGGTAGACATGGTATATTTGGATATCAGCAAAGTGTGAAAATGTCCCTCACCTTTGGAAATGATGAGGAATAGTAAATTAGATAAGAGTAGAATTTGGGTAGATCTTAAATAAGTAAAACTGATCCCAAAGATTGTGGGTCATTACCAAGCTAGAAGGAGATTTCTAGTGGACTGCCAGTAGACTTTGTCCTGATCAATATTTTTATTAGTCATGTAGATGAGAACAGAGCAGATCTACTCATCAAATTCATAGATGGCATGAAAC